GGCCTTGACAAAGATAAAAAGTTAAAGTCAAGCAAACATTGGATTAAAAAAAAATTATAACCTTAAGAGAAGTATTCTAAAGTTATTTAGTTTAAAAGAATTAGATTTAGATTTAGTTAAAGTAAAAGGACATAGTTGTAACAAATAAAACAATAGAACAGATAAATTAGCGAAAGAGAAGGACAAAATAGATAATTCTAATAGAATAATAGAGGTACTATCTTTAAATTTAAATGTTTCACTCTGTTGAGAGAATTTAGTAATCAAAAACATAACAAGAAAGTTCATCAAAAATGTTCTAGAACTTAAAGTCAGAGCAGAATGAAGATTTATATTATTAATTCAAAAAACAGAACCAACCTTGAGAAAAGAAGAACATAACTGATTAATATTATAACAAAGCATTAAAGGTTAAAGTGAAACAAAATATACAAGTATGAAGAGGAATAGAAAATTAGTAACATTAATTAAATATATAAACAAAAAACTAACTGTACTTAAGACCTTGGCACAAAGACAATCAGATTTATATAAAAATACAATTTATATACTATATAATAAAGATCACAATAAGGATCAAAACCATTTAGTAATATGCAGTAATTATGAAAAAGAATGAAATAGTACAAAAAATATATTAATTGATTTGACATAGACAGTATTGACAAAAAAAACTCAGAAAAAGACAAATAAAGAAGAACTTAAAAAACTTTTATGATGAACTTCAAAAGAAAAAAAATCAGTAAGCAGATCCAAAATAATCAAAGATCTAATACAAAAAATTTGGTACAAGATATTACACAATCTTTAAAGAAAACCAAAAACTTCATAACAGTGTTCACAAATGCAATATGAAATGAATTTTTTGAAAATATATGGAAAAAATATTGTAATATTGTTGTCGATTAGAAAAAATTAGTAAGAATAAACACTACAATTAAAAAAAAAAGAAATAATAAACAAAACCTCTCAAACAAGAAAACATAAAAAGAAAGAAAAATTATAAATATAGATGAACAAAACCAAGTCATAAAAGAGAAAAAAGAGAGAAACAAGATTCAAATTCAGAAAATATAACTTGATTCAGTTTTTAGTTTTGTAAATAGAAATGTAAGACCTTTTTTTTAGAGTCTTACTGGCTAGCTTGGTACAGCTCTGGGCCAGGAATAATCTTTTGATCCATGTAACAGACTGCTTCTGAGCACTTACAAAAGTAACCAGAAGATGTTGAACCAAAATTTAAGTCAACTTTGTATAATATGTATACAAGAATCTTAATAAAGATGATCAGCAAGACTGCTTAAGTTAAAAAAAAAAATTTTATAATTATTAAATTTTTTTTATATAGTCATCCCCCCATATAATCACCCTCTATAGAGTCACAAACTCTATATAATTACTTCTTTTTAAATCTCCATTTTTTTATTATTAAATAACCTTCTATATAATCACAATAGGTTTATAATCACTATTATATATATTTTTATTTTTATAAAAATTTTTAATAATAAAACTCCTCTTATATAATCACATACAAGATGTGACCTGAATGCAATTTCTTCACTCAGGTCACCCATATAACTTGAAACCTGAATCTGATCAATTTCGGATCATTTCGATTTGAGCTAAGCTGTTTATGAATATCACTTTGTTATCAATAACTAGTGAAATTTCCACTCATATATTTAGTTGACGACAAGAATAAGCAATTTATAAAAAAGGGTTTCAAAATTAAAATAAGTACTGTAGCAGAAGGGTTTAAGAAATCAGATTTGTTTAAAATTTTAAAATCGCAAAATGTAGTATTAGTAGCTATATCGATAATAGTATAGTCAAATTTAATAAAATTATTGCAATATTTGTTTTTACGAGATAAAATTTTAGATATGTTATTAAATCGGTACTTTAATTTTAATCAACAGTTAATTACAGTAAATCGCATTAAAAAACAATTATTAAATTATATAGTACTGTACTGTATTACAGATTTCGCATATCTTTTATATAAACTTTCGCTGATGTAGCAGGTCATTAAATAAATTTACACTTATTATAAATTGGTTCCATAGCGAGAACGACCTTGTTTGCGTCCTTTTACTCTTTTCACATTACCTTTTTCCCAATTCTGAACCACACTATATTTTATCCTTGGGCTCCACCACCACAAATTAAAACTGACAAGTATTCTTAAACATTATGACCTTCACTGGAATAGAATTTATAGATTGTTTATTTTTAAACAAATACATTGCTTATTTCTTTCGAAATAGTATCTGAAAAATTTCTAAAAGCAGAAGCCTGATGTGTTGAAACTTGAATCAACAGGATTGTAAATTAAGGTTATTACATAATATGCAATCATCATAAAGTTTTTGCCACATCGCATTAAATAAAATAATTTTAAGAATCAGCCTCATAATCAGTAAAATTTAAATTTGTTTCTATATGCAGAAAAGCTTGATAATTTTTGTTCAAAAAAAAGATGCGTGACATAATAAAATCTGCAGATTTAAAGAATTTTACATAAGTATTATAAAAATATCAGGTTCTGGTTTTTTCTGATTCTTGGTGCCTATCGTGACAATAACAAAGACATATCGAGAGCTAATAGAGCTATCAAAAAAACTATCAGATACTTGATAGCTTTATCAAGTATCTGATAGTTCTGTTAGCTCTCGATATATCTTTGTTTTTGTCATGATAGGCACTAAGAATCAGAAAATCAAAATCTAATATTTCTAGAATACTTATCATGCACTTTATTTCAACTTGTGCAAGTCTCTTCCAGTCGTCATTCAATTTTAGATTAGCAAGTAAATAATTAAACAAATCAAAAATTATCTATACTTACTGCAGTTATACTTACTGATTAGATTAATTTAAACAAATAAAAAACTTGCAATTTTTAATTTTTCTTAATTTCTCATGACACCTTTTAATCAGTATCCGATTTGAATTTCTCATTTGGTGTCACTTAAATTGATTTAAAGAGAAATCTGTAATTACAAATTTGAATTTCACTATACCAGACTTGAATCAGAAATTGTGCCACATTGATAGTATTTTGAACATAATTAATCGCATTTGTATATAAAATAACCAGAACCTAATTTTCAGAAGTCCAGTGTGGCAAAATTTAAATTTGTATTTACAGGTTTTATCTTAGCCATGCTTATATATAATCATTAAGATATGTTTCTTAAATGACCAAAAAATTCAATTAAAAAAATGAGAAAAAAAAAATGCAATAATTGGTGGCGTACATCAAACCTGTATGAATTTGAGATTTAAATCATTTTAATATCACTCGTGTGAACTTGACCAAACTATTATTGATCGTGCAAACTTGAAATCCAAACCATTATCTATCGTCGTTGTCAGCTTGTAAAGTGAAATCCAATTGTAATTTGAGATCTGTTTCTGCGTAATGCAAAATTTACCAAATAGAGCATATAATTAAAGCTTGTTAGTAATTAGAAAATCTGTAAATTAATTATCAATAATACTTACCGTTACTATCCTTTGAAAAATATGATGTAAAAAAAAAATAATAATAAATTATTTAGAAAAAGTAAAAATTTAAAATTCCAACCTATCATTACTTGGCGTTGTTTCAAATAGATAAATTTCGTAATTGTAGTTGTCATTTAAAGATTAATAGGCCTTGTATGTACTTTAAATATAAAAGAACCATTAGTTCCATAAATTACTTTAAATAAAATTCTTAAATGTCATCTAAAAATTTATCACAAAAAAGACTGAGAACAGCTGTTAATAAACATTTGAAACGCGAAATATGTGAATATAGTCAAAATAATCCTAACACAAGGCAAATAGATATCGCTGACCATTTCAATTCTCAAGACCCCAACTTAAATTTGGATCAGACCACTATTTCAAAGATATTAAAAGATAAGTCAAAATGGTTAGCAGTTACAGAAGACCAATTAAGTTCTACAGTTTTTCAGCGTAAAAAAGTGAAATATCCTTTATTGGATCATCAATGAGACTCTGGGTTGAACAAATTACTAACAGCAAAGTGATTCTAACAGAATTAATGATTAAAGAAAAGGCGGCTTCTTTTGCAAGTGCCTTGGGCCTAGGTGATGATGCTTTAAAATTTTCCAACAGATGGATTTATAAATTTAAACAGCATAATAATCTAAGAAATTTTAAATTACATGAAGAAGCCAGCAGCGCACCACTATCTTCGCTTCTGGAATATAGAGAAAAATTACGTGAGTTGATTGAAAATTATATGTTGGATAATGTGTTTAATGCGGATGAGACAGGACTATTCTACCGTATGGCACCAGACCAAACACTTGTCTCCCGATCAAGACCTGGATTTAAAAAGACTAGTTATTATAAATTATAATAAATTTAATGATATTTGTTACCCGTATAGTAAAGTTATTCAGTATATAAAAAATAGTATTACGAAAAATGTATTTACTATAATATTTGTGGCAATAATATTCTCTTGTATCTCGTGTATGTTTTTTTCATACATTTTTTGTAACACAATTAATATTTTTTACCTACTTATTTTGTGACTAAGTTAATTTTGAAACCCTCTTGGTTAGCTTATCATGATTTGTACCTGGGATTAATAAAATATATTTCGTAAATATAATTGTAAAAAACTCAGATACTATTTGCCACAAAATATAGTATATATAAAATTGTGTAATAAACATTTTTGTTTAAAACCTAAATTGGTTTTCATAATAAATTTTAAGAAATTAACAAATTTTAATTTTTTTTTCATATACCAGGTAACTTATTCACTAGTACAAATAAAATTTTCTTATTCTAAGCATTTTAATTTGCATAATAATTAGGATCATTCATGGATCACTATTATGCTAACATGTAATGCAACGGGAACTGAAAAATTAAAACCATTAGTAATTGCGTCTTCAGTTTCTCCTTGTGCACTTCATAATGTTAATTATGATTCCTTACCTGTTACTTATTGTGCAAATTCCCGGGCATGGATGCGAAATGACATATTTTCTGAATGGTTAATAAATTTGAATCGGAAATTTCATCTTCAGAATCGCCAAGTCTTGTTGTTAGTAGATAATGCCTTATCACATTTTCATAACCAACCTAGTACCCATGAAACATATGAATCAAATGAATCAAATTCTGATTTAGATGAAGAAACATCTAATAATTCAGAACTTGAAGTAACAACTGTTTCACGTAGGAATCGTCGAGGTCGAGGTCGGCCAAGATTAACCCGAACTAATCAGGGTGCAAATAATAGTCATAGTAATCATGATAAACATGATAAACATAGTATTGGTGAAAGTAAGGGTCATTATAGTAGTGGTTATAGTCAACCACGTATTATTCCTGATTATTCAAACGTAGAATTAACTAATATTAAACTTGAATTTTTACCCCCAAATACCACTGCACATCTGCAGCCTATAGATGTAGGTGTTATCAAAAGTTTCAAATCCAAATATAAGCAAAAATATATCCATCATATTCTAATGCAACTTGAAAACAATGAAGATTTAAAAAAGTTAAAAACTTATACCTTAGGCTATCATCAATATAAATCAAGCAGATTAACATTTTAAAAAAAATTAATACCTTAACTTATATAAGCCCATATTTTGATGTTATTTTGTTATTTAATAGTCAAAAAAAGCTTAAATCTTTTATTTAAATCACAAAAATAGTTTCGAAGTTCATCGAGATATGAGCTATAAAAGTTAAAACATTAATTTTTTTAAAAAAAAATAGTAATTTGCTTAATTTCTATTGACGCCTGCCCCTTTAGTTCTTTAATTGATAGGTGTTTTTTAATACTAATTATAGTTTAATTTCAATTAGAAAAAAGTTAAATATTAAAAACACTATATACTACATATCTGAGTCTTGGGATGCCGTTGAAGACCAAATAATTGTTAATTGTTGGAGGAAGACCAGAATTTTATCATCAGTTTCCCATGAAAAAATAGAAGTTGCTATTAAGAGTCAGGATATGTTGTTAGAACAGCAAGAAGAGGATGTTAATGACTTGGTAATAGACTTGACCTCTTAAGATCCAGAAATTAAAAGCCAATTAAATACATATTTAGACCTCAGTGATTTGCATATAATAACTGAGGAAAAGCTTGAAGATTCGGAAATTATTGAAATTGTTATAGATAAAGCAAATCAATGTGAAAATAGAGATCCTGATGACTCAGATAAAGAACAACCAAAAATTTCTATTTTAGAAGGGCTAATGGGTTTAAATAAATTTATTAGTTTTTTTGAACAACAAATTGATGCAGATTTTAAAGCTGAGGATCTTAAAATTTTTCAAAAATACTTAGTATTGTTAAACTGAAAATATAGAGAATCTAAGTGCCAAGCATCTATTAGTGATTTCTTTACACAATTAAATAATGAGGATGATTATAATGTATTGTGACTTTTTTTTTTTATACACATATATGTATATTTGATATCACGTGTTTATTTTTATTAAGAAGAAAAATTGTAGTAACTTGCGTGATAATTATAAATAATTCTTAGTATAAAATATTTTGAAAAAATTTTCTTTTGTAATTCGAGAATCAAGGCATTTGGTATGTTAAAATACTTTGATAAGTTCATTGTACTGAAAGTGTGAAAAAAAAGCCCGATAATAAAAAGTTGATCAGTTTTAGGCATCAATATTGCAAGCCAAAATCGCTTCAAAAAAAATTTAAAAGTTTACCTCTAATAAAGTAATTAAACATAATAGTTTCTCCTTAAGTCATCAATCGAAAAGTCAATATGATCTACATGAATGTGTTAAGATATGCAGATCAGTTAAATAATACTGTCCATACTTAAATCCTGTAACATAATCCAATACTCGTGATCTAGCTTTATTCAAAACTTCGATACTGCATGATTAACATTATAATGGTTTAAAGAATACTCTAAAGTAATTGCACTCTGAATTTTAGAGTACCTATAGAGTACGTTGTAAAAATGGTCTGGTCCATACTCAATTAAAAGTAGGTCCTGGTACTCTAAATGATATAACCGGTATGGTAAGTATTACATTTAATATAAATTAGTGCTGCTCAAGGAAAATCTGTCATCAGATTTTCAATTATAATTTGTACTAAATACAATCTTTAACAAATTATACTGACTTTGACCGATACAAATATAAATGAAAGCTCGATAACAGGTTTTCCCTTGATGACACTCAAATAATCCAGTAATTTGATCAACACTAATTATAGTTTGCGTCTATTATTGTAAAGTCTAATACTTACAAGTTTTCCCTGTACAAATTATTGTCATTTAGCAAAGATATATACATTATTACATACTCGATCATTATCGAAATCAAAAACTTATCAAATTGGCAAAAAATCATTCGGTCAATTTTTTACCAGATGTCCCGAAATTAATGAAAACAGCTGTAAATTCGGATCCCTTTTACCTATCCAGTTGATAATTCGAATTCAGATTTGATTACAGTAGTAAATTCGGATTCACCTAAAAATCAAATTTTATTTATGCTGTACTGTATACCTTAATTGGTTGCTAAAGTGATGCGATAATCTACAGTAAACAAGTTACTCTCATTATAAAAAACTCTCGATCTGATATAGTAAAGTTTTTCTCAATACCAATCTATATAAAATTCTCTCGATATTGTAAATTTACTACATAATAGAGCTTTCAATACTGTATGTATTAAAAAAGTTTTATTAATAAAACTGCTTGAGTAACTTATATATTACAGATCAATATGTTTAAAATTAAAAGATAAGAATATTCACATCTAATCCGAATTGTTGGATCTATCTGAATTGGTAGATTCTGAATTGAAACCCTATGCTTATATGGGGATGCTCACAGCAAAAGTAGGGATAGGATATGCGAAAAAATTTAATATGCTATATATTTCCCTTTATTAAATCATATTAATTATTTTTAATATAAGATGTGCTTATATAGAGGTAACCTTTATTAAGTCACACTTCTTTATAATCACCTAATTGGTACATACCCAACTAGGTGATTATAGGAGAGGACGACTATATTAAAAATTTAACTAGCCAAATTCATTTCTATAAGTAATGATCTTTTTGAAATGTTAAAGTAAAAACTATTAAATAATAAGAAAGATTTCTGAACTACATTTGTACTACTTATTTTAAGACACATTACACCTTCATTTCTATATAACATTATCATTATTTCAAATTAATTTTAAGTATAAAAAGGTTGAAGAAAAAAAAAAATTTTCAAATTTAAAAATTAAAGTTTTAAAAAATAACTAATCTTGGTTTCAAAATATAAAATTTTATACAAATATTTTTTGACAACTACCAGACCAACTTAAATAAAATTTTTTATACCGAATTTGACCCTGTAGTCGTCGAGAAACAATCGCAAGAAATTTTAAAAAAATAAATAATCACAGTACTGCGCATCTAGTGCAGATCATCCAATCAAACGGTGGGTAAATCTGAGGTGAGTAACTTTGGTTCCTATCGTTATCGTTATTAAAAAAATGACGACTAGAGATGATGATTCAACTGATCAACAACAATCCCTTTCAATTAACGCTCCTTCTTTGCTCGTGTCTAATATCATAGCTTCTACTACTTTCCAAAAAACACACTCCTGGTCAACTGCTTCTTCTTCTGGGGAAGAACACCATCTATATGATGAGGAATTGATACCACCTGGCAATTTCACCATGGTATCAACCTGGATTTACAGAAGCAGTTTTCCAAAGAAAAAGAATTTTCCTTTCTTAAAGAAACTAGGTTTGAAAAGCATTTTGTAAGGTTTTTTTTCAAAGTATTTTATATCGTTAATACAATATTTTTTTTTATTTATCTTTTTTTTTTTTTTTATGAAAAGAACATTAATCTTGGAAGAGTATCCCGAACAAAATATGAAATTCTTAAAAGCAAATAATATTAAATTGTTTCAATTTGGAATTGCGGGCAATAAAGTGAGTCGATCAACTCATATTTTTTATATTAATATATTCAATTTTTTTAACCTAATACACTCTAACCTATTAGGAGCCATTCGTTCAGAGTAAAGCTCATTTTTCATATCCTTTTAATTTAGATGTTTTTACGTGATTACATATTAAATCACGTGCTGGTCTGATTAATAGTACCAGAAGATATAATTTGTGCAGCATTGGCGGTAATTCTAGGAATGTTATTTTAATTTTAATTAAAAATATTATATATAGAACGATGTCGTCTTTTAAAAATTAATTGGATTATGTTTAATTTTATTAGATCAGCGAAACCATCCAATACTTATACACTGTAATAAAGGAAAGGTAAATTATTGATACATCATAAACTGTTATACCTGTCTTTTGTTCAATTTCCTTTTGAATTTTAAAAGCACCGAACAGGCTGTCTGGTTGGGTGTCTTCGAAAATTACAACGATGGACTCATACATCAATATTTGATGAGTATCGACGTTTTTCTTGTCCAAAGTCGCGATCAATGGATCAACAATTTATCGAGCTATTTGACGCAAGTCAGGTTTGGAAACTAGTAGATAGAGATCATCTCCCAAAATGGGAAGAACTAGGTAAGACACAAAAGATCCTACATTAAAAAAGTCTTGATATAATACTTATAATTACATTTTAAGATATTCCTTGGTAAAAAAAAACCTATATCACGCCTTCGACCGTGTCGTGCCGGTATTATAAAATTACTAAATTAATATTGATAAAGCTTAATATCAATTCATCTGCTACTCAATAATTGCACAAAGAATTTTGTTGCTCACTTTTACATCGCGAAACATTGACAGAGCCTTTATTGATATTCGAATTTATAAAATATTAATTTTGGAATTCACAAACTCTGGGTTTGCTATCAACTTAAAAAAAAAAGGTTCACTGTGATATAGACTATTCGTACTCAATTATACATATATGCTCTAAACTGTGCATTTTCTAATGTATCGAAGTGATCATATAATAAACACATGTAGAGTAAATGTTGTGTATATCGATATCGTATACGTCAACCTAGATATGGAAAATACCATAAATTTCCAACTTATACGTAACCCCATAATGTCCATATATAGTCAGGCAAATTTGCCTGCAATCTGCATTTTCTCGACAAATTATTAATCTAAGGGACATGGTATCATACGACTAAATCGGGTTGTTTGATGAAAAATGTTATTCTTTTTAGCAGACGACCTCTATCCTTTTATTTTTTCGCTCACCTTTTGGAGGGTCCTTTGAAATCACGATTTTGTATTACCTCAAAATGTAAGGGATAATTTGAAATCGGGTGAGCCGGTTGAAAACGGTTTGAATAATCCTGACGGCGGATGACTAATTTTTTTTTAAATTTCGAGGGTGGGTTGAGTTCGATTCGATATTATCGAAAAAAAAATTTCAGTTCGAATGAAAAAAATAATTAGTATAAATGCAAACTTGTGAATAGTGTTATGACCTGGGAGACTTTATGATTCGACGTCAATTTAGCGCAGGGTCACAAACATGAACTTAGGAACGATGGTGCAGTTAGTGTATTCTCTCTTCGTTGTACTCCTTGCGGGTTTTACATCGTTATCGTCAAATAATATTCTCGAATAAAGTTGTTAATTATCTAAAAAAATTGGTACGTTGGTTACGATTGGAAGGGCTCAAATCAATACACTGCCACAAATAGCTCATATCATAAGCATTAAGTTGGTTTAATAACCTATGAATACCATATGCTTGAGCAATTTCTTGCTATTGTATAGATAAAGATGCTTGCATCAAATAAGTACTGATCCACTTATCAATATTGAATTTTATTTACAATGTAATGAGCGACAGAAGATACAATGAGATATATCGAAGAGTATAAAAGAAAGGTACTACTAAAAGTTCAAAAAAGATCTATCCCTATTGGCCCTTTATATTAATTTTTTATTAGGCTCAAGCTAGAAATTAAAAAATCATTTCGTAATTACGTACGTAATAATTTATTATTATTAATGGAGGGTATTACGAAAGGAAAAGTGTATTACATTTTTCGTAATAATGTACGCACATATGTACGTATATATTAGACTTTTGATTAATTATATGCTATCTACGATCATATTAGCAAAACAAAGAAAATAATAGTAAAGACTTATACAAATGAAAATGTTTAACAAAATTTTCGCAATAGTCGTATGGTAGCCTCCGAAAGTTTGTAACTTTTTTCTAAATCCAGATTAGCGAGATTGAACACTTAGATAAACTAGTAAGAAAAAAAATGCGTGTTTATTTTCACAATACAATAATAACGTGTTAAATTTTATGTTTCTGCGTAATAGTACCAGATATTTAGAGTTACATATTCAACCGTTTTGACCCGGTTGAACCATTTTGACACGGGTGACTCGGTTTACTGTAACCCGGTTCTAAGCTCTACTAATTTCTCGAAATTGGTTTTTCTGGAAGAGCATGACGACGAGGAGGTTGGTCTCGTTGATCATTAATTCGTACTTTTTTAGAGTGAGAGGTATCCGGAGTTCGACTACTTCTCTTTCTAGATCTACGATCTTTTTTATTTTGCCGATGACTATCTTGAGTTGAACTACTGCCTCTAGTAGATTCATCTTCATTTCTGTTGGCTACTTCACGTTCTTTTTTTTGAGGTTTTCTATGATGATATTCGTGACTTGAATCATAAGTTGGTAGACTTTTTTTTTTAAAGAAAAAAAAAAATTTAGCATTTTAAATAATTTAAGATAAATTAAGACAGAGCTACGAACTTTTTAGGATCAGCCGGAAATGGTTCTGTAAAGAAATAGTCATGATCTAATGCGTGAAAAGCATCTAGACGGTCTTTGGGATTGCAAACAAGTATTTTATCCAATAAATCAGCAGCTTGCGTACCAAATCTATTTAAAACAGAAGACATAGTCATCAATATTATATAAAAAAATAAAAACATCAAAAACAAAATAATAAGAAATATTACTAACATTTCAAATTCAGTTATGACTTTCCTGGGATATTTGCTCGATACCACTTCCATACCATTTGCCAAAGTATCAAAACCTTCCCAAGTTGAATTAGTGGGTGTTCCACATAATTTATATATTTGATCCAACTGGTCAATATCCGAACGACCAGGAAGAATAGGCTTTCCCTTTAACATCTCACCAAATACGCACCTTTGATCAATAAGAATTATAAGATTTAGGTAAAAGAATATAGTGATTAATTAAATACAAAAACATTAATTTACCCAATCGCCCACATATCAATGGCCGTACCATAACGCTTGGATTTAAGGAGTAACTCGGGGGCACGATACCAACGGGTCACCACACATCCAGTTAACGTTTTTTCTTGCAACGGCCTTGATAGACCAAAATCTGCGATCTTAAGTATACCTTTGTTATCTATTAACAAATTTGCAGCTATTAAAAAAAAAATTATTAATTTAATTCATAGAATATATGTCTAGTCAATAGTCGGAAAGTATAAACCTTTTAAATCTCTATGTAATATAAGTTGCTATTGTCAAGTTAATAAAATTTGTAATGAATTAGATTATCAAAAGAATAATAAACAAAATAAGCAAATGGAGAATAAGCCCACATTGTGTAAATAAAAAGTTCCTTCAAGTAATTGCTTTAGGTAACATTTAATCTGTGGTGGAGTAAAAACAACATCAGGATTCTCCAGGAGACCCGCAAGATCATGATCCATATATGGGAAAACCATGTAAATTGATGGTTGAGTATCAGAAGGAGTATCTATCAGATAAAAATTAAAAAGATTCAATAAAAATTTAGAGAGAAGTATACAACACTTAAACTAAGATTTATAAAAATACCATATTCAATGGCCATATCCGATAGACTCACAACGTTTGGATGAGAAAGCTGTCTTAAGATCTTAATCTCGCGTATAGCCGTTATTGGAATTCCTTCTTTTTCGTTATGCATCAATATTCTTTTTAACGCGACAATCTTACCACTCTTTGTGTGTTTACCCTTGTGCACTTCACTATTTTATGAAAAGAGATAAGATAAAGTCTAAAAAATAAAGATCAGAAAACACTAAGAGTACCCGAAAGTTCCTTCTCCAAGTTTGTCCATAAGTTCGTAATCGTCGATCGACGAACATCCGTGAAATTTATGTTGACTGAAAGAAGAATGAGGTTAGAGTGTCATATAGTAAGTATAAGAAAAGAGAAAAAAAAGAGACAAAAAAAGAGCATACGGATAATCAGTATATGGTTTCGAGTAAGGAGTTAACTGAGGCGTCTTAATTCTGTACGGAGAACCTTCTGGTGAAGATTGGAAACTAGCCTCAGCGTTATGGTAAGTACGAAAAGGAGTACCAGATGATCTACCATTCTCTTCACTGGAATGACCACCTCGAGAAGAGTTACTACCTATTGAGCCATTAACGTGAGGATCTTTAAGAATTTGTTGAGGCGATCTGTCGGTCATTCTTTCTTTAATAAATAATCGTGGTTATAACTCATTCAAAATTCACGCAAAGTCGATATTTACTAAGAGCCTTGTGTCACCTGGAAAATGTAGTCGTTCCTCCTACTCCTACCCTAAAACTAACCAATAAGATTGCATGTTGTTATAGTAAAAAGTATATGTGATTAGTGGATCACATGAAATTGAATGTTGCACTATTATTGGCTATATGCGACATCATGTGACAATGAGCCAATGAAATTATACTGATAAAATTAGTTCTATCGTTATAACAAAAGAACGAAAAAGGTTTTTTAAGCATATATATTTCTTAATGCCTATTTCATTTACTGTACTGAAATCTTTAAAAAATTTTAACCGTTTTAATTCTTGTAATTAATGTTTTTATATACATAAAAGTTTTTTAACTATGGTTTAAACATGATATATATATATATATATTTGCTTTCGCTAAGGCCAATGTCTATCATCTTTATTGTGATTTATAATTATACATTTACATATATAACTTCTACAAGGTGAGTGTGCAACTAGTCATACGTGTAACTTTTAGTTACTTATTTTAAGTAGTCCGTCCATAGGTTCTACACTAGCTGTCATACTTGTAATCTACTAGGAGATTACCTATCTAAACACTGATTTTTATACTGCACTAGTTAAAAAGCTCTGTAGTTCTTGTACATCTAAGTGTTACCTAATCTGACATTTAGTCTTTTTTTCTATATAATTATCAAGTCATTACTTTTTTAGAATATATCATTTAATTATAAGACTTAAGATGTTTTCCTGTTAACTAGCTTACCTATTTTATAGATCATTAATAAGATTATGTTCTTACAAAATTTATTTAAATTCTAGTACTAATTTTACAACATATTTTTAATATTTTAGTATATTTTTGTTTTGATTTTAGACTTCTAATTTAGGTAGTCTAATAGAATTATGATTTGTTTTTGTATATTGAGTTTAGTCTAATATTATTTTTTTCTGATTTAATTTTGATAATCTGATTAATAGTATTTTTTATTTAAAGATTATTATTTATCTGATTTCTTTATCTTAGTATTCTTTTTCTAAATCTAGTTTTTATAGTAGTACTAATTAAGATTTGTATTATTTCTTTATTTAGGTCTTTTCAAGTAGATTTTAACTATTTCTAATTTTATAAATTTATATATATATAGTGTAGCAACCTAGTAAAGTGGTCAGGTTGTTAACTCTCCAAGTAGTAGGTTGGGTGTTTAAATCCTATCGATAGTGAAATTTGAATAATCATCTATGTAATTTTCATATTATAGTAATTGTTACTAATAATTAGATTAGAATATTTGTAATAGTGATCATATTAGCATAACTGACAGATTATAGAGCATTCATATAAGTTATATAATATTGTCCTTTAAGACAAGGTCTGTAGTTATATAAAGAAATGCAAACTAACAATTGGATGATGCAAATACTAGATAAGTCCTTGTAGTTAAATAAATCTATTGAAAATTAGATAACAAAAAGTTCATTTAAAAAGACCTAAATAGAAAGATAATTAGATCTTTAATAGTATTACTGTAAAGGCTAGCTTGAAGAAACAAATATTCAGATCTTAGTAACCAGACAGACAAGAATCTTCAGGTTGAGAGTCTCAGAGTTACTATCAACTATGCTATTAGAATAAACTAAAGAAAAAGAATATTAAGTCAATCTAATATATTAATGGACTGGTCATAGTCTTACATGAACTATCTGGATTAAAAGTCTGATGAAATTCAGAGATATACTAAAGTATTAGAGTTATACTATAAAGTAGATGCTAGAGTCTAAGTGAACTTTACAAGGATATAGCAGTTTAATAGTTAAGTACTAACTGTAAGTATTGGTTTTGTCATAACAATACCTAGGTTAGTTGTAAAAATAAGTACAAAAGGCTCTGGAGGGTTTACTTTAAGAATAAATTAGTTCTAAGGTTAAGATAATGATTTGAGTATCTGAATATAACTCAGTAAGTTAACACAGATTACAAAGTCAGAAATTTTAAAGTGAAACATTTAAGCAAAAGTGTTAAATATGGTAATTGGTAGAAAAACCTTCAAGTGAACTTCTTAAATAGGTAATATAAAAAAGTTATATATGTAGCTAATTGTACACTCTTCTGTAATGGTTTATTAAACTACAATATCAATAAGTGATTAATAAAAGTTAAAAGACCAAAGAAATCATTTTAATATTAAAAAAAAAAAAATTATATATATTACTGTAAAAATTTATTTAGAATTTGTATTACATAATATCAGTTGTATTTTTTTATATAACCAAGATTATATAGATGTTATAATTTATTAGTTATACTAGTATAATTATCTCTTAAATTGTATTGCATGCAAATTTGCCTGCATCTTTTTTTAAAAAATTAATTTTTATAATAAAATTTTAACAATTA